GGGAGCCTCATTGTCCCACTTAACTTTGAACATTGAAGACATCGTAGCTAATGCGTCCTCTAGCTGATTCTCCTCTCTTGGGAAGTGCTCAAAAGTTATTTCTTCAAAGTGGGGAAGCAAGGTTATCACATACTCCTTGTAAGGAATACGATTTGGGTGTTTTGTATCCCACTCGCCTTTGATCTGATTGATCACGAGAGCGGAATCTCCGAAGACACTCAGAAATTTGATCCTTAAGTCGATTGCAGCTTGTAAACCCATGATACATGCTTCATATTCTGCCATGTTGTTGGTGCAGTTGAAACACAATCGGGCGGTGAATGGAGTATGCGTTCCTTTGGGATATATGATTACAGCGCCGACGCCGTTTCCCAAAGCATTAGAGGCTCCATCAAAATGCATAGACCATCGGGATCCTTCCTCAGGTCCTTCATCCGGTCCAGGTACTTCACAGTCAGTTACCACCATGATGTCTTCGTCCGGAAAATCAAAGTTCAATGATTGGTAATCGTCCACAGGTTGGTGTGCCAAATGATCCGCCAGTACACTTCCCTTATTAGCTTTCTGAGTTGTATACTGGATGTCATATTCTGTCAAGATCATTTGCCATCTCGCTATCCTTCCAGACAGAGCAGGCTTTTCGAATATGTACTTGATGGGATCCATCTTTGAAATCAATAGAGTAGTGTGAGTCAGCATATACTGTCTCAGCCGGCGAGCAGCCCATACTAGAGCGCAACAAGTTTTCTCAAGCAGTGAGTAACGGGACTCACAGTCGGTAAACTTTTTGCTCAAGTAATAAATAGCGTGCTCTTTTCGGCCAAACTCGTCATGCTGCCCCAGCACACACCCCATTGAGTTATCAAGTACTGTCAAGTATAGTATCAGAGGTCTCCCTTCTACTGGTGGCATAAGAATAGGTGGCTCTTGGAGGTACTCCTTTATTTTTTCAAAGGCAGCCTGACATTCATCGTTCCAACGTACTACTTGATCTTTCTTCAGTAATTTGAAGATTGGCTCACAAGTAGCAGTTAGATGTGAGATGAATCGGGCAATGTAATTCAGTCGTCCCAGGAAGCCTCTGACTTCTTTCTCTGTCTTTGGAGTCGGCATCTCTTGTATGGCTTTTACCTTGGCAGGGTCCACCTGAATACCTTTATCGCTTACAATGAAACCTAGCAATTTTCCGGATCTTACCCCAAAGGTGCATTTGTTGGGATTCAACCTCAGCTTGTATAACTTGAGTCGGTCAAACAACTTCCTCAGATGGTCAAGGTGCTCCTCCTCAGTTTGAGACCTTGCAATCATGTCATCAACGTATACCTCAATCTCATGATGGATCATATCGTGAAATAAGGCAATCATGGCGTGTTGATAGGTTGCCCCAGCATTTTTCAATCCGAATGGCATGACCTTGTAACAGAAGGTGCCCCACTGAGTCACAAAGGTGGTCTTTTCCATATCTTCCGGAGCCATCTTGATCTGATTATACCCTGAAAAACCATCCATGAAGGAGAAAACCTTGTGTTGAGCAGTATTGTCGACAAGAACGTCGATGTGAGGTAAGGGGAAGTCATCCTTGGGGCTCGCCCTGTTCAAATCCCTGTAGTCGACACACATCCTAACTTTACCGTCCTTCTTCGGTACTGGCACTACAAGAAAATTAGTGTTTAACGACACAAAAATTGCGACAGTTATGTGATAACTGTCGTAATTGACATATAGAGACAGTGTTTACGACAGTTGACACCAACCGTCCCTAATATTTATTTTGCGACGGTATATTTAACCATCATAATATTATTATTACGACGGTAAAACAACCGTCGGCCCCCATTTAACACTTTTAACATTGATTTTTCACCAACAACTAGTCACGACGGTAAAATTAACCGTCCTAAAAGGCATATCACGACGGTAAAGCACCCGTCGCACCCTTAAACCTTTCACGACGGTAAAATTATCCGTCCTAAAATTCATTTCACGACGGTAAAACAACCGTCGCACCCAAAACCTTTAAAAATTCTCATGGGCACGACGGTAAAACACCCGTCGCCATAAAAAAGTTAAAAAAAAGCTGAGTTGTACCGCAATTCCTAACCGGTTTCTGCAGAATCGTTCACAATTCGTTATCGAAACCAAAACAGAACAAAAAAGAACAAATTCACAAGCTCCTTTAAGCTTTTCCGAATGGATCTGAACACGCAAAGTCACCGAACCATTGCCAACCTATCCTCCTCTCAATCGTGCACAAATGACGCACAATGGCGCCCACGCCGTCGCCAGCTACGAAGGTGCTACGCTCCATTTCCGATCCGACCCCGACGATTCCGTTGCAATCGCACCTCTCACCGTTCCAACCGTGAGCCATCCGACAACCCACCAATAAGGCACAACCAACCGCCTCCTCAAACCGCTAAAATCTGCTGAACCACATCCACCGCAACAATCTTTATCCGTTGTTTCGTTCATCAACTCAGCTGGTCCCTGCGTCTCTACTCAACAATTCAACACACACCTTCGTCAGCCAACCCTTTGCAAACCAAGCTTCCATCGCCGCCACTGAAGAAGGAAAGAAAAGGAAGAGGTATTTGATAGATACAAGATGATGCGTTGCAAACAAGAGAGAGGAAGATATGGATTCAATTTGGTACTTTTTTTCCCTTTTCTATATATCGATACATTTGTTTATATTTTTTAATTTGTTTTAGATCACAATTTTTGATCCCGTCGGAGCTTTGACATTAGATGATGGAGCTTTAGATCAGTGATGGCGATGGTGTTATTGTAGAGGCTAACGGTGGTGTCTTTTTCCATTAGTGTCAAGGTGTTTGTGAAAATGCATAGTTGAATATTGGAGTCCAGTAGCACTTTGACGCTGGTGTCTTTTGCCATTGGTGTCAAGGTGTTTGTTAAAATTCCTAGTTGAAGATTGGAGTCCCGTAACATCAGTATGTTCAAGAAGGGAATGAGTAGAGAGGATGCTCATCAAGTGTTTGTTGTAATGCTCAACTCAAGGTATGGCTGAGTTTATAGAATTCTGATATGCTATGCTATATAGTGCCTAGTGGGTGTTGTAAAAGGACTTTATAACCATTTAAGCATCATATTCTGTTGCAGAGTGTGATTCTGACCAAAGCATTATGCACTATTATCGTAAGATATCTCTGAAATGGTTACATTTAGTCACTTCAATTTATTTCAAACTATTATCGTGTCTGTGCTAGTAGATATGCACTATTTATTCAATTTGTGTTTGATGTTTGAACTTAACAATGGTAGTGTTGTTGTTGTTGTAGATGTGGCCAGACCTTATTCAGAAATCCAAAGATGGAGGAATTGATGTCATTGAGACTTATGTTTTCTGGAACTTACACGAACCTGTTCGACGCCAGGTTCTGTTCTTTTTCATTGTCTTTCCACTTTCATATTGTTATTCTTCTGTCTTTTACATTGCAGTTTTGTGAGTTCTCAAAATTAACGATGGATTACATATTTTGGCTTGGCAGTACAATTTTGAAGGTAGGGGTGATTTGGTTGGATTTGTGAAGGCAGTAGCAGCAGCAGGTCTATATGTTCATCTCCGGATCGGTCCATACGCTTGTGCAGAATGGAATTACGGGTAAAATTGGATCTTTTCAATGTATCATTTTGAAGACAGTTTCATCATAATATCTAATCCCTGACTTTAATTTCTTTTCCCTTCCTAAACAGTGGTTTCCCTCTTTTGTATGGTTGTTTCTTGGATTCTACTGGGTAACTGCTGGTGGTCAGAGTTTGACAAGGGTTTCACCTCAGCTTTACTGGTTAGTTACATCTTAGAATAGTATATATTATCGATAAAATCTTTTGCTTTACGCATTTGTCCCATGTTTCTACCTTGTAACTGTGTAACCATCACACACGTTGTATTTTGCAGGCTCTGTATCACATTTCTTGCTTTCGACGTTGCAATTGTTGTGATTTGTGTTACTGCTGCGTGTCTCATTGGAATTGCCGTTTGCTGTTTTCTTCCATGCATACTTGCTATTTTGTATGCAGTGACTGATCAGGTAACACAGATCACAACAATCTTTTTTCAACTTCATCACACTTAATTTGATATTTAATGTGGCAACAGGAAGGGGCAACCAAGGAAGAGATTGACCTGTTGCCAAAATACAAGTTCAGAATAATAAAGGAACTTAAAAAAGAAGGTGATGCCCAAGAATCATCGAGAGGAGTGATGACGGAATGTGACAGTGGTTCAGCTTCTGAGCATATTATTGCCTTAGAAGATGCAGTAGGTTCCTAGTTATTAAATACGGATTATCTTTTTATAACATGTTCGAACCCGCTCTTTTGCAGTCGGATGTCCATGTATAGCAGCTACCAACTAAGTTGGCTTAACGAGACTATCCTTTTATATTTTCTGATGGATGATCAATTTGCAGGAATGTTGTATCTGCCTTTCGGCCTATGATGATGAAGCTGAACTTAGAGAACTTCCTTGCAATCACCATTTTCATTGCACATGCATTGACAAATGGCTGCTCATCAATGCCACCTGTCCTCTCTGCAAGTTTAACATTTTGAGCACTGATAACCTCCAAGAAGTTTGAACTGGTTACTTGGTGCATTGACAAGGATGGCGGCACAACCCTTTTTCATAACAATCTCAGATGAATTACTGATAAAAATTTCAGATGCAGAGTCACCATTACTTACACCAATTCTCGCTTGCAAAAAGGACATGTTGGTTTCCGATTTCGTTCGACTTTGCTTTAAATATGAAGGTTCTGCAGTTCAGTGCAGTAATCAAATTGGTGTAAGTAATGGTGACTCTGCATCTGTACCGTATTTGAAGGATTGGCATTTTGTGAAGGTATCATTTTTGGCTTTTCATCACTTTATCATTCATTGTTGTACATTCCAATTTTTGTGAATCATCCCAATTTCGTGAACATTCAGCAGGGTCATTCATCTCAAGAGCTATGAATCACATAAAGAGATGATATTCAATGACCAAAAAGTATCACCATCAGGTCTGTGCATGAGAATATATTTGTTTTTAGTTAATATTTGATACATATATGTGAAAAAGATTGCTAATAGTAATATCTGATGGGTCATTCATCATAATTGTATTTGTAGCTTCAAATTTTCATGAAAGATGTGATGAAGAGAAATGAATTGACTGCATCTCTTGGAAATGATGAATTAGTCTTCATCCTGATAAGCTTAAAGCTTTCGGTTTATTTGTCAAATCTAAATTTTTTAGATTGCTAATATTTGACAGTTATAGTAGAGACAAATCATAAACTTTTGAAACATTTGAAATTTTGTTTAGAACTTAATCAAAGCTTAGAAATTCTGTTTAAAATCTCTCTGACTTTGTTTATGACTTATTGAAACCAGGTTTTTATTGGAGATATACTTGCTGCTAATTCATCTCACAGTGAGTTCTTCAATCTGTCGAAGCAATTTTGGAGTATTACACCAGAGGTATTTTCTGATTTAGTTGGTTTTGTGTGTTGAAACTCATCATCCAATTTTGGTAGTGAACATGGATATCATGTTTGTAATAACTATAATGTATTCTTTTACAATAATAATAATAATGTATAGTATACCTCTTATCTACACATATTTATTTAGATAGATAGTATATCATGTTTGTAATAACTATGATGTATTCTTAATATCATTTTGATTTTGTTAAACATACTATCAGTCCAAATATGGTAGATCTGCTATTGCACATGAGATTCAACTAGCATTTTCATTTTCATTTTATTAATTTAAATAAAATAATTAAATTTTTTCATGAGATTAAACATACTATCATTTTGATTTTGATTTTATTAATTTAAATAAAATAATTACATTTTTTCTATAATCAAATTCTATATATATCAACTAGCTTATTAGTCAAAATCTTCTTTATATATAGTATTAATTTGTTAATTACAATTTATCAGTGATTATAATTATTAGTTATATTTTTATAATACATTAAATTACTTAATTGATGTTTAATAAATTTTTTATATGTTTATGTTATGAATAGCATCAATTAGCCTATTGGAGATAATGTGAATACAACAATTGCAGACTTAATTAATGACGATGGAAATTGGAATTGAAGCCATTTAAGGAACATGTTCAGTCGGAAGTTTTTGGATATAATGCTTGTAATACCTCCACCAAGAACAAGGATATAGAGGATCATTGGAAAGGCATTTGGAATCTGAGTGTTACTAAAAGAATAAGGGTTTTTGTGTGGATGATATATCATAATGGAATCAAAACCAACCAATATCTAAACCACTTGAATCTTCCAGATAATTTGTGTGATTACTGTGATGGAAAATGTAGTAGTGTTGTAGCTGAGCTTTGGTGAGTAATGGAAGGCATTGATTTAGCTCGCACAAGGGCATAGAGAAGACTGATGGTGCAAGTAGACATCAACCAAGTTTTTGAAGCTCTCACAATGAGCTTAGTCGAGAAAGGTCTAGGTTTAAATCTGATTCCTAAAATCCAGGAATTTACAAGCACTAATGAAGACATTTCTATCGTCTATATTTATCAGGAATTGAAAAAGTGTGTCGACGTGCTTCTATATGAAGAATGTCCTCAATTTATGTATCATACATATCTAAAGAACTTGAGACGCCTTGATACATATCCAAATTTGATTAGGTTTCTCCTTAGCGGAAAGTGAATTTTATTTTATTGGAGATTTTGTTGTAGTTGATTTTTCTGTACCTTATAACTTTTCATACAATTGGAGTTTGATGATATTTGAATTTTTCTTGTTTATTGGTAAAATTTGCACTTCTTTTTACCTTTGATCACATTTTTTTGATATTATTGATGATTATTTGATATTAAATGTTTTTATTGTAATTAACTTTATTATGTTGAAAAGTGATAGAAAATAAAATAAAAATACTATAAATAAAAAAAATATTAAAGTAAATAATAATTTAAATATAATAGTAAAATAATATTATATTTAAAATTATTTTACTAAATAATAATTTAAATAAAAATATTATTTGAAATTTATAAATCAGATTACGACGGTTAAAACCGCCGCAATTTCTAACCTACGGCGGTAGAATAACCGTCGCAAACAACAACAAAAACAAAAAATAAAGTCAAATTCACGACGGTATATAACCGTCGCTATCTGTTGTGCGTGACAGTTTTGCAACCGTCGCGAAATAGGCTGGGGACGCACGATTCTGCGACGGTACTTCTACCGTCGTAGATTGTAAATTGCGACGGTTTTAACCGTCGTAATCAGCCAAAATAACCGTCCCAATCTATCATTTTTCTTGTAGTGTGGCACCACATTAGCAACCCATTGAGGGTAAGAAGTTACCGCAAGAAACACGGCATCGAATTGCTTCATAACCTCAGCCTTGATCTTTTCAGACATCTCTGGGCGCATACGACGGACCTTTTGCTTTACCGGAGGGCAGTCTTCCTTGGTTGGCAGGTGATGAACTACAATGTCAGCATCCAAACCAGGCATATCTTCATAGGACCAAGCAAATATCTCCATGTAATCCTGTAGCATCTGGATCAATCGTTGCTTCACGCTGAGCTCTAGATTGGCACCAATCTTGACCTCTTTCCTATTTGTCTCAGTACCCAGGTTAATTGTTTCCACCGGCTCTTCATGTGGTTGAATAGCCCTCTCTTCCTGGAGTAGCAGTCTTGCGAGTTCACCCGGCACTTCGCAATCATCTTCACCTTCGTCCTCGGCCAAGTTGATCGGATTCTCGAAGTCATAACTGGCGGTAGCAGAGCTGTTACCAGTGAGATCCAGAGTGGATTGAAACCTGTATAAGTGAGTGTGTGTAAATATAGCTGTTTTGCAATATATATAACACAGAAAGAAAAAGGAGCATAAGATTTGAAATGCAACAAACGTCCAATGTTTTGATTGATGATATATGGAAATGTCATACAAAAAAAGCCCTCACAAATGGAGCTACGATGCCCCGGGTAGGACACCGAGCCAATAAAAGTTTTAACACATTGTTTGTTACAAATTGGAAATCAAAAGAAATTAATTACTGCGTGACAAATGTGATAGGTGTAAAATCCTTTGCCGCCCAGTTGCTTGGTCCGTTGCTGGTAGTCGGGTAGATCCAACTGTCAAACTCTGCTTCCTCCACATCCTCCTCGATAGCATTCACCCTTGGGTTGGAGATAAACACCGGAGCCTTTCTGATCTTTTCCTTGCGCACAGCCCTCTGAGCCTCTGCAGTAAAGCCCAGCCCAAACTTGTCATTCTTTTGAGTGAAGTCAGGAAGCTGACCCCAATTTGCACAATTGCCTTTCTTGATTACAGCCCGAGCATCCTTCAAGGACGCCATCTTCAACGGAAAATCCTCTTCAACCACTGCCTCAGCTGATGCCAACACTGGAGGTACTTCCTCAAAATGCTGAAAGGGAGTTTCAATAAACTCCCCGTCCATCTCGATATACCGGAATGAATTCAAGTGACTCACCATGTATTCCTCCTCACCCTGCACAGTAACAATCTTCCCTTTGACAGGGTTTTTGAGCTTTTGGTGTAAAGTGGAAGTTACTGCCCCAGCTTTGTGAATCCAGGGTCGACCCAACAAGCAGGAGTAAGATGGGCGAATATCCATTACATAGAACGTTGAGTCGAAAACTTGGGAACCCACACGAATAGGGATGTCTACCTCACCGTGCACCATCCTCTTAGAACCGTCGAAGGCTCTAACAATGATGTTACTAGGTCTCAACTCCAAACCCTCACAATCCAGACGATCCAATGCTTTCTTGGGCAAAACATTCAGGGAAGAACCAGTATCCACTAACACGTGTGCGAGAGTAGTGCCCCTGCATTCTATGGAAACATGCAGGGCATCATTGTGATTTTTCCCTTTGGCGGTAAGGTCTGCATCTGAGAAACCCAAGCCATTGTCAGCTGTCAAATTAGCCACACAGTCGGTGAATTGATCCGCGGAGGTCTCTTGCGGCACATGGGTCGTTCTCAGAAATGAAATCAGGGCTTTTGCATGGGCCTCTGAGCATAACAGTAATGATAGCATAGAGATTTTGGAGGGAGTATGCCCCAACTGTTCAACAACGTTAAAGTCACTCTTTTTGATAATTTTAAGAATTTCCTCCATTTCTTGTTGGGAGGCTTCCACAGCAGTCTTCTTTGGTGCCTCTGTCCTGGCAGGCAAATCGGTAGCAACTTCTTTGCCCCGAGTATCAGAAGACTTGGCGGCAGTAGTAGACACAGGAACTTGAACTGGAACATGCACACTTGCGGGTGTGATGGTGAGAGGTTTTCGGATAACTGGCGGTGCAATGTCAGGCGAGAAGAGCCGACCACTACGGGTGATCTTTGCGGGACCAGTAATATTATTGATACTGGTATTGGTGCTGAACTCCTACTTCACCCCAAGCACATATACGTCGGCTCCATAATGCCATGGAACAGCTTTATCAGACTCATACGGGAGAGGCCCCGGGACAGTGATAGTGATGGGTGCAACAGACAAAATTTGGACGGTTTTCTTCACAGGAGCTTTGGCAGGATTGTAAATTGTGACGACAGATATTTCTTCAACGGAAACAGACGGAACAACAGTTTTCTTGAATAGAATTTCCTTGCTATCCATCAGGCTTTGGATGCCTGATTTCAGCAGTGGACAACCGGTAGGGATAAGAGCACACAGGAGGCAACCCTTACTACAACCCGGAAATAAACCGGCTAGTAGTAAGTTCCTCTTAACAGTCAAAAGAGGGGTAACAACTTCATTCACCGAAACAGCATACAATTCTTCCTCAATGGCATTTACCCTATGCTGGGGCATAGGAGCAGTTACAACATTTGGTCTCTCAGGCGCTTCAAACTGAATTTCCTTCGCGTCGATAAGATCTTGCACTTTGTTTCTCAAGGCCCAGCAATCATCAGTAGTGTGCCCGGGACTATCAGAATGATAAGCACACCGGGCATTTGGGTTATACTTAGGAGACGCAGTGTTGACGACCTTAGGAGCTTCTTTGGTGGTCACCAAATTGGTGGATAGCAGTTGAGGTAAAATTTGAGATAAGGTCATACTCAGCCGAGTATACTGCCTCTTGGGCCTTTCGCCTCTTTGTTGATTATACTGCTGAGGAGCAGCAACAGGTTTTGAAATGACCAGAGCATTAACGGCTTGGCGACTTTCTGGCTTGACTTGTCTTCTAGGACCATATACGGAACTTGCTTCTTTCTTAAAAGGCCTCTTCTCAGCACTTGCAGCAACACCCTTCTGAATCTTTCCTGACTTGATGCCAGCTTCTATTCTTTCGCCCGTTAAGATCAAATCGGTAAACCCCGCGGAAGAGTTACCAATCAGATGATTGAAAAATGGCCCAGATAGGGTCCCTAAAAACATATCAGCAAGTTCACGATCAGTTAAAGGAGGCTGCACCCTGCCAGCCAAATCCCTCCATTTTTGTGCGTATTCTTTGAATCCTTCGCTTGTTCCTAACGACATACCCTGAAGTTGGGTACGAGTAGGGGCAAGGTCAGAATTGTACTGGTATTGTTTGTAGAAAGCGGTGGCCAAATCTTCCCAATTTCTGACACTGGTTCCTTCTAGTTGATAAAACCACTCCAACTGAGCTCCCGAAAGGCTGTCTTGAAAGAAGTGAACCCAGAGGTTTTTATCTGCCGTATAGGGTTGAATCTTTCTCACGTAGGACCTGAGATGCATTTTGGGACAGGACAGCCCATCATACCTCACAAACACTGGCACTTTGATTTTTGGGGGAATCACAATCCCGGCAACCAAACCCAAGTCTTCAAAATCCAAACCCGGTACCCTTTATAGTTCCATGGCAGCCAATCTATCTTCTAACCCTTTGTATTTATCATCAGCTGGAGGGTATTGCTGATCAGTATAATCTTCATCCTCTTCGACCTCTTCTTCTTCCGCATCAGACTCGGAAGGTACCGCCGGTCCACCTCCTTTACTGGTTCCTTCATCAGAAGTAGGAGGAAATTCAAGCACTCTTCGAGCCTCTCCGTCAAATATTCTCCCCAAGGTAGCCACCCCGAGCCTCTTTTTCTTTTTCTTCACTGGGTCCTTATTCCCCAGCAAGGTCTTGAGATCCTCCTGACCTTTAGCCAAGGTTGTCAGGAGTTGCTGGAACTGTGCATTCTGAGCTTGTAAGTCTTTGACTGTTTGCTCGAGATCCATCCTACTGAAATAAACAGCAGACAGATAAGGAAACCTGGAATGAGACCTGCTTATGCACATGATGAATGGTATTCTTATGTATGCAATGCATTCAAGGATTTAGAACATTCAAAATTGTTTTAGATAAAGAAGAACGCACGTCACATTAATAAGAAGG